CCTTATAACACTTCAACCTACTCTTCCATAACCAAATGTTTAGGACCTACCAATTGGGTTAATTAGTGTGAGATCTTTACATCCCTGATAATAAGTACTGCTACACCATCATAGCAGTGGCTGTAGACTATTTTTCCATTTCTTATTTCTTTTTTACAGTAAGCATTTACATAGTCACACTGTTTAAACCACTGGTTCTTTTGGGTTCAGCCAAGGGTTGACACGATCGTACCTGGAAATATTGAGTTCCAGAAGATAAGAGCATCGAATGTGCTCATGACAATTCCCAAACTAAATTCAGCACAGCATCTTGGATATACCTCAAAATGACTTTTTAACTTTTTTTTTTTTTTTTAAGAGGAGAGAATATTCTTAGGAAAAAAGAAGATGAGACGAGAGAAGATCACTGAATGCCCAGCATTGATTTAGAAAGAGGATTTGGCAAGGAGGGTGAAAGGGAGCCTTCCCCGATCCATTCAGTGTATGGTTATCATCATTGATAACAGGGCTCTGGGTCCCGCGAGAGAGCGAGTGGGGAATGAATTAGGAAACAAATACATTTCTGTAAATAAAGTTTTTCCAATTCAGAGGGTTTTTTTTTTTTTTTTAGGAAGTGGGGAAGAAATCTGCTTCTCAAATGTCAAGTACTTGAAAGACTAAAAATAGATCACCGGAATAAATAAATTAACCCAGAAGACAGGACTGATGCTCTGCAGGCATCAGGGATTAAATAAATTCACTAAATTCAAAGTGGTATTCCAGATAAGAGCTCTTTGTGCTGCAGCATGTACAGCTTATTGATTATAGGCTTGAGGTGCTGGGCACTCTTGTAAAATGTACTCTGGCTGATAGGACTTAATCCTGCGGTAATGTACAGCCCGGTGCACAAAGCATGGAGCTAGCTTATATTTTCTTATTTATTTTAATTTTGTTTGTCTCTTAATTTGCCACACCACATCTGTGCCCTCTCCCACCAGCACTTCCCCAGGCAGCACTTGCTCAGGATGAGGGCCGAGAGACATTGCAGGAGGTGCTGACTCAGCAGGATGAGGGCTGGGCTGCCCGATGGAAGCCTGCAGGATACAGGCCATGAGAAATAACCTTGGTTATCTTCCATAGGGATGTAAAGCCTGAGCACTTCACTTTTCTGTTGCATTGCATGGGCTGGCTGCAAGGATGAGTTGCCTGGTTGAGTCTTGGGGAGCAGCTCAGATGCAGATACTTGGGCTGCAGGCCTCCACGTTTTGTTGTGTGTGTCCACCATGGTAGGAGAAGTATGTCTAACCAAGGAGAAAACACTACCTGTCCAGATAAAATGGATTCTTCTGGACAAAAAGAAAAAGTAGAAAGTTCTGTAAATCCTGTTGGTCAAAGTAAACAAACCCAGAGGCACTTTTATACACCTAGCTGGAATGAATTTTCGTTACGTTCCAATTAACCTGAAGGTGATTTCATCCTCCCGATCAAATGTTGATCTGCCAAGGTCACTTCACAGTAGTACAGAAGGACATTGCTCCTTTGAAAGCTTTCCTGCCTCTGGTGTTCAGAGCAGCTCTCCTCTGCAGATTGCTCTGAAGAGCCAGCAGACCCCTCTGAACATGGACTTTTACTATATAGTTTACCAAGAAATAAAAAAAAAACCCAAACCCACAGGTCTCCAGTGGTGTGAGAAAGCAGCTGGACAAGGCAGTGATGCTCTCACAGCGTGCTGGTCTCCTGGGCCATCTCTCCTTGGGGTTGCTGCCCATCACCCAGCACCTTCCCAGCCTCGGGTCATCCTAGTTTTCTGAATCACCGGTTAAAAAGTTGGTCTGACCAAGGGGAAAAACTTTTACCATTAATTTTTGTCTGCTTGGTATGAGGGAGCAGCTGAACAAAGGATCTGCAGGGGCTTGGGTTTTGGGTAAGCTCCCCAAATCCCCGCATCTCCCACAGGTTTGGCAAATCTCCCAATCTCTTACTTTACCAAAATCAAGCCTCTTAATCTCAAGCCATATAGCCTCTACTACGTAACCCTGCCTCCTGAGCGTGATCCACAGGGCCTGTATTTTAACACCCAAGATTCATTAATATTTCCTGCAGAGTGTTCAGTCAGTAACAAATAAAGCAGGAAGTGTCCCAGATGTTGGAAAGAAAAAATGGAATTATTCATCGCTTACTAACGTCAAATGCTAATGCGAGAAAAGCATCCTTGAAGAAATCCTTGACTAAAATTCATCAGTGTGATGTGAAATCACTGGTTTAATTATGCATTTTTGAATGTATTTATTAGTCCCGGTTCTGATCTGACTTACAGATGTTTAACAGTGATAAGGGTCTACTGCAGTCTTTGGAATTACTCATGATTTATAATGACAAAACTTGGATCAGAATTAGGTCCTTGTCACTACTCTATAATATCCTTTCATCAAACTTCTTCACATTCAACAGATGAAAGAGATGGTGGTTTCCGCAATTTCAAACCCTACCGCTGAGCCCATTAGCTTGTTTTTTGACATTTCCCCTCCAGAAATGACGATACCCACACAAAATTTTGTCTGCTTGAGTTATATTTGCCACAGGAAACTTGAAAGCTAAGGAACGAGACTCTTTGGTCCACCAAAATGATGGGTTTGGTTAACGCTTGTGCTGGCTACAAATGTTGCGTTTTAATGGAGGGGGTAATTAATTGGTTATGCTAGGCTATAATCTCAGTCTCTGTACCCGAATTGTTGGGACTATGAGGGTATACTCAACACCAGAGGGTTTTTTTTTTAAAATTCTCCATTCAAGAATGATTCAAAGTCCTGTGTTTTTCAAAAGAATGATGGAGTTTTAAGCTATTGCTTGTTCTAGAACCGATCCAGAATGTGCAAGTCTCCAGGGACGGTTTGCTCCCTAAGGCATGAATGCATGATTAAGCTAAATGTATTCCATAAATGCCTTGATGACATAAAACTAAATTTTTTAAAGAACAGATGGAGAAAGTTAATAAATATTTCATTCTATAATATAAAACTCACTTCTATATTCACAAATTCAGGGATCCTCAGCTTCACAGATTATCAATAAGCCTGATGGATTTCTTGCTGCATTCTCATTCTTCTGCCCTGGTGTCTCTTATGGGATCATCATTTCTGCATGCTTGGGTTGTTTTATGGGATCAGTGAAAGGCAAGCGACTGTAAATCTTGACCTCTTCTGCTCCTGGATTATATACTTTTATTCTTTGTGACCATAAGTGTTCATCTCTACACTGAATAGATAATTAAATGACAAAAATTATTCAAAGGGAATTTATAGTGAGAAATTATCAGTTGAAGACCTGATGGGGCACAGGCATAACCCAAGGAGGCATCATGGAAAAAAAAAAACCAAAACCATTTTAGAATGGCCAAATAAAATACTGAAATACCTGCGTATCTGTAAATGTCATGAAACATCTATTCAGTGGGAAAAAACCATGCTTTTTACCTGTATATACCAATTCTATTCAAACAAAATTTCTATTAAGGGAAAACAGTGTGAATTTTGCTTAAGAGCTGTAGACCGAGCCTGTTATTCATATGAAAGAACTAATCTTTACATGTGGGAATTACATTTTCTCACTCTATGTATGCCATGAATCTTGTAAAGGAATAATTAGAACTTGCTCCAAAAGGAAAGAAATGTCAGGCTTGAATAATATTTTAGGAAGAACATTAACAAACATTTTTATACTGCCAACAATCTGCACTGCTTTCTAGAAGAGATTTACATTACGTTATTAATTAACCATACCGAGTCAATCGTATGACATAAAGCTTGGGAGATATATGTCCAGCACGAACTACGACAACCACGTGAAAAACGTACATTTTTGGGAAGTTTGATTGAAAATTTATGCAAATGACTCCAGCAGGCAAAGGCCCAACAAACTACTTCAAAGCATCAAGCTCCAGCCCGAAAAACGTGACAAGATCAAACCTTTGTCATTTCTCCAGTGTCTTTACAAACCTTCATGTATATGGTATAAATTACTTCACCTCCTGTACCTCGATGGTTTGGTGTAAAATTAGCTCTTAGTGGAACCGCTGCGGCCCGTCGGCCAACGTACGCCGGGGCAATTGCAAGAATTTAAATGTATCGAGATGGTACAAAATTTTTCTTTTTGGAGACTTGTGCGAGACCTGGATTCTTGTGCGACGACTGTAGAATACAACAAGGTCCCATGGTCTACTAAAACAAACCAAACAAAAATTAATAGTGCTGCTGTTTCTGCTCCCTTTCCCCCAGCTCTGACCAGCTTTCAGACTTGGGGTTGAGAATCCCCACAACCCTGCATCCAGGGAAAATATTAAATACGGAGCAATGTGGTGCTGTAAAGAAATACTAATTAATTCATGTTATGTTTCATGCCACAAAAATTGGTTTATTCACTTCTTGAAAGTTAGGTTAGGTCCAGGTACATTTGTATCTTCAAAATCAGGGCTTTTAATGAAAAAAAAAGTTTCTTATGTTTCCCGACATCCCATTAAAATGGTTGTCCTTTGACGTCAATTAGAGCCAGCTAAAAAAAAAAAATAAAATCATCCTTAATTGCTTTTCAGAAATAGACATTAGAGCGCACACCATGGCAGCCAGATTCGATTACCTTTTACAAGAAACAAGGATGCTGGGAACACCATAAAACGCCGGCTCTGCTGGATATGGATGCGGGGCTCTGCTGACAGCCCGGGGAGCTGCTTTTCACAGCAAAGGCTCTTCCTCAGGCTGCAGAGAAAACTGATACAAAACCCATAACCGCATCTAAATTTCTCCAAAGTGTAAAAACACTGAAGCTGGAGGTTCAGCCGAAGCTGGGTTTGGACTGACAGTGGTGGGATGCTCAGCACTCCATCCCCGCCTCCACGTAAGAGAGTGTGTAATCATGCACCCATGCTGACAATTATAGCTACAAAACCAATCTAGTCCTCAAAACTCATGAACGTTTCATTACAAGGAACATCACCAATTTTCTCAAAGGCCTTCTCCGAATTTGTCTTACTCCAGGGACTTCATAATGTCTCTGCCGATCAGGTAGAAGAGGAGTCCGGAAAGTAACACCAGAGGCACCCCGGCCGCGGCAAACATGAACGACCACCCGTAATACACGTGCACGGGTACATCGTCCATGCACTTCTCACTTCTCTCCAGAAGGATGTACTTCTGAAAATCAGCGGCAAATTCCTTCCACATCACGAAGAGAAATATGAGCAGGAGAAATAAGCCTCCTGGAAAGAGAGACAAAGATGAGCAATTCGCTGCTTACAACCAGCATAGGAAACACAAGAAATAAATCCGAGAAAAGATGGCCACAGGTTTCCATTTACTCTTGCGGGTCCTTCGCATCAAAGCTTAGTGTTGCAGAATTATTATTCATGACATTGCTCTGCAGGTTCCTGTGAAAGCCAAGCCCATGCGCCATGGAAAAGACCCACACCACTGCACCAGCTCCTGCCCAGCCGCCAGCACACTGGCACCTCGTGCTTTAACCCCCGGCGCCACTGAGGCTCCGTTACAGCGGGATACGGCCATGGAGGAACCACCATGAACACAGCAAGGATCTGCACGAGGCTAACTCTGCATTCCTGTCTTAAAGGTGGGTTCTTTTGCCTTTTTTACCTTTATTTTGCCTGAGATGAGTGAGAAGATGAGACTAAGGCTCACTTTTTTCCCTTTTTTATCTACCCTTCCAAGTAGTGTCAGATCCAATTTCCACCAGAAACACAAAGATCAGTCCTGATGATGGCAAGCGTTATCTGGCATTGAACCTGTTACCCCCAGCACCGGCGCAAGCAGAGCTCACGCAGACGCCAAGCGTCATGGCAGTTCCCCTTCACGTCTTGTGTTACCCTTTCCTTAAACCGAGCTTTGCAACCAAGTGTTAAAACACATGGCAAGGAGCGTAGATGATCCTATTTTGCAGAGGAAAAAACACATAATAGAGTGGAAAAGGCGTGTAGCCATGAGATATTCACCTCAGATGGGCTACTAAATAATACAGAATAATAATAAAAAAAACCAGAATAATAAAAAGAATAATAAACAGCTTATACCATGAGGCTAGAAAGCCTTTTGACTGGCAGGTGAGACCTCCCTCGCCCTCCCCTGGAGCCAGACCGGAGGAGACCTGAGGCCACACTCAAGCCGGAGCAGTGAGCGCAAGATCAGCATCTCGCTTAGAGAGGGTCCGCTCTCCTCAGAGCCTCCCAAGCCTCGCAGGATGCCGGTGACCCAAATAGCAGATCTCCTGTGAGACCTCGCGGTCTCGTATTTCCAGATGCATACCCGTCGAAGGTCAACGTTTGCAGGAAGAGCTCGGTCACATCTGAAAAGCACGTGGTGAACAGGCACCTCCCGGAACCCGGCGCAGCCCCCGGCGGGTTTGGGGGCTTCGGTGCCTTAATAAGAACCTCCTTTCCCCATAATTCAAAGTGATGCTGGTTGGAGGCTGGAGGTCTAGCTCCCCCATATGAAGCAGAAGACAAAAACTAGAGTGGCCCCAATATTATTTACTGTATCGCATTAAAGAATATATATATAGTGCATTTTAAAGTCAACATATATTAAAGCTAAATAGTGATGGTGCGATGACAGACCTGAAAGCACTTCAGTAATATCTGATCTTGCTACACCATAGCTAGAAGCTTGCTATTTTTAAATGGTGCCATATAACATTTAGTTATACGCACATACACGCACATATATGAAAGAAATACATCACCGATTATAATATTTTTATAGTAGAAGTGAACAGTTCGAAATTAATTTAGTTGACAAGTTACCCCACAGTTCTGCGGATGTGTTGTGGTTTCCACTGGATTTAATTTCTCCCCTTGCAATTTTTAAATCAAAGGGAGCTTGTACTATATTTAATTATTCTTCCTGGCAGCTTACACACTACAAATTCCAACTCCCGGGCTAAGCAAAGGAAGCGGGTAACGCTTGACATTGATATATCTGCTTAGCAATGGTGGTTCCCGAAACCTCGTTGAGAGAGAACACGCCGGTGTTTAACTCCGTGTCTGCTTATAATGGATATAAACACATCTGCTGCTACAAACCCCCACATCTTGTAGCCAAAAATGAGACTTACGTGAAGGTGCAGAGGATCCAAAGTCCTCTCCGTGCGTTATATAGAAGTTGAAGCCACCCACCCTAAGCCATCGTGTCTCTTAAACTGCCCCCTATACCCCAAGACTGCAAATTGAACCCGAATCATTAAAAATTGGTGCAAGCATATGAATGTCCTTTACATATCACCACGCGCTGGTATTTCAAGCCCTTCTCCTTCCCATGGAAAAGTCCTCACGTTTGCTGGAGAGGCAGGCTAGGAGTTAAACAGCAGCTGTTGTAACATTTGCATGTTCATTGAGATTTCGATCCCACTTGAAATTAAGCGCACAAATAAATATTTTACACTTAATATAATAGTTGTATGCTTAAAATACCAATTATTCTACCATAAGAAAACCATTGCATGTTTAAATAGTCACGTGTCCTGTACACAATACAATATATTGATAAGAAGGCAATTAAGGCTTTATTACTGATGTAATTTAAAATTAAATTAATTAGATAGCAACTGAACCTTGAAAAGTGTTCCTTTAAAGATCAATTTCTATTTCATTAACTCATAATACCTACCGTAAGAGACGCAAATAAAAACGCGGCCCCAGCAGGACAGAGGACACGCGTACGTTTGCGCACTTCTGAATTCTCCTACTTTTCTTTCAATAACCAGGGATTTTGTGTTGGATTGTCCCAGGACAATTTAGATGGCCTAAGCCTCATTTAGTGAAGAAATCAGATTAAAACCCACCAGTTCTTACTGAGGAGGGTGCGGGGAAGCCCCATGTGCGGGTGGCATCGTCCCCAAGCTCGCCGGGAGCTAAGGGTGGGGAAACAGCCTCTCCCCTCGCCCCAGGAGAAGCTCCAGCCCTCGGTATGGAAGGATTTTATTATTAAACAGGTACTGGAGGTGATGGCACGGCCACGGCATCTAAATTAAGAATATTTTCACACCCTGGGAAAATGACAAGAAAATATAAAGTAAGCAGCCTTCTTCCCTGGAATAATTACAGGTGAGCAGCAAGGAGTCCCTGGGATTTATACCAGCTCCTTGGCAAGAAAAGAAAATCCAAAGGGTGGTTGCAAGCAAAGGACAGTGGAAATGCAGGAAGGGCAGCTCATTGAAAACTGTTTGGCAAAAAAAATGCTCACCTGGAATGATCACAAGTATCCACAAAACCGCCTGAAATGTGTCACGCTTTGAGACGTTAGTAAGCTCTGCATAACGAGGACGTCAGGATGTTTCTCTCCCATATTACCAAAGTAAGCGTTTGGCATTTATGGTTTAAAATATTATTTTATTTTGAGGTTTTCATCTTTTGAACAGGTCTCACTTTACCATCTCCTTCTTGGGGCTTCCCCATCCCTGGGAACAATTAAGGCCAGGTTGGACGGGGCTGTGAGCAACCTGATGTGGTTCAAGGTGTCCCTGCTCCTGCAGGGGGGTTGGGCTGGGTGACCTCTGGGGGTCCCTTCCAACCCAAAGCATTCCATGATTCTGTGATTCTTTTCAACCTGGCTGCAGCAGAAAGACATCTTCATTTCCTGCCAGCCCCAAGTAGCTTTCTATGTGCGGAGACAGATTTCTTCCCGCTTTGGGCAACAAAATGAAAACTGGAAAAAATCTAATTTTCTGACCAAGAAATGAGCCCGGCATCAACACATGCACCTGAGATGCAAGACATGGGTTGGGTTTGGGTAAGGGGAAGTGAAGACCTCATCAAACTAGACCATGCCCACCATCCTCTCAGCATCCCTGTGGTTTCTAGTGGAAAACCAGCCACACGAACTCTTTCTTTCTCTCCCTTTCCCTTCTTGCCTCTGTTCATTAGGACGGTAGGGAAAAAAATTAACTGTGAAACTCCATCTCTTAGCTGATGAGGTCAATGGCATCTTCTGGGGAGGGGCTAATTGCAAGAAAATTGAAGCGGGGTATTAAATCTTTCTCCTTCGTACACTGCTAACCGCAGGACAACGAACCCTGGCCCTCCGTCTCCACCTCTGAGGAGAGCTGCACCTTCACGGTGAGTAAATTAAGAGTCAGGCTTTTTCTTTCTTGTCCTTTGTAGCCCTGTGACACCTTTATAGCTGCTAATTGTAGGGACAGGTGAGTGAACTCCATCTTTAACTCTTATTCTGTGGAAGCTACTGAACTTCTGTGCAAGCTGCTAATTACGAGAAAAATGAACTTTGACTCCTTCGCCTTTCTCACTAGTTGCCTCTTAAGGATGTTAATAAGGAGGCAATGGAGGGGTGATCTTCAGCTGCCCTTCCACAAGGGTGAGTCTTGATTGCACGAGGGGAGGGAGCCTGAGATTGCCAACATGGATATGCTTGATTTGAGACGAGGAATCTGAGCCCAAAATTCGGCACTTTTAGTCATAGGACTGGCAAAGCGGCAGTGTGCTCACGTTGAAGAAGGGGTTGGTCCGAGCACACACCGTGCTCCTCTCGCAGGACCGCGACGCAGCTCTGAAAGTGCAGGAGAGGCATTGTGCTGCCTTTGTGCTTTCCTATTCCCACTGGAAATGGCCCATGGCCACAGCAATTCTGTGGCTGCAGGATGGCGTGAGCACGCCTGTGCGTGCCACACCAGTGGGGATGCTGTAGAAACAGCACTGGGACCACAGTGGCTGGAAGAAGTGTAGACTGTACGTGATTCATCAAGCATTTGGGCTCTCCAGCATCAGGCAAGCTGATAACAGCTCCTCTTTAGGTTGCTTGACATTACCCAGGACACGCATCCTTATTGCTTGCTTTGAAAATTCACCGTACTTTGCCTGCGTGTTCCCCCCCCAAGCAGCCTCCCCACCCCTGAGCAAGCCACCAGGTAGAGCTCAGATAATTTTTTTTGCTGAAGCCCACGGCTATGCAGCTAGTCTGGATTAGGGCAGCGCTCTGAGCTCAGTAATTGCCCTAGGTCTGGATGAAGCGTGTGCTCATTTCTAAGCTCGGTCGCTAAAATGCCCAAAGGAAATGAAATGCCCAAAGGAAATGAAATCTGAGGAGCCCAAGCACAGAAAGCCAAGGAGCCCAAGCACAAAAAGCCAAGGAGCCCAAGCACAAAAAAACCAAGGAACCCAAGCACAAAAAAACCAAGGAGCCCAAGCACAAAAAAACCAAGGAACCCAAGCACAAAAACACCAAGGAGCCCAAGCACAAAAAAACCAAGGAGCCCAAGCACAAAAAAACCAAGGAGCCCAAGCACAAAAACACCAAGGAGCCCAAGCAAAGTTGTCTCAGCAATTCAAATAGTTTCCAGAAGCTACAGTGCAGAATTCACCCAGCCCTCTCAGTGACATTGTAGCGATAATTAATCATATTGTCATCTGACTATTGAAACAAGGGGGCAATTAGTCACCAGGCAGTATCTGCCTCCCCCTCGCACGCACCGAAGCCGAGTCCGAGGTGGCAAACGGTAGCAGAAAGCAGCACGCCGGCTCTTTGCTCATGCGATTCGGGTGCTTTGGGGAGCAGGCTGGCAAGGATAACTGCTCAGCTGGGGCAGGGGCTGTGCAAATGCAAGCAGCAGCAAATGTCAGATGGGCTCTGGCTGTATTTCCCGAGTTGCCCAGCAGAGGAAATCAAGGGGGATGGCTTGGGTCCTTTGGAAGGGCTCTCAGAAATGCCACCCGCCGAGCACTACATTTGTTACGGTAGCCGGCAGACAGATTTGTCCTCTTGAAAGTACAGTAAATAAAAGGCGTCTTGGAGAGGAAACCCAAAGGGATCTAACTGAGCGATAGCAATCTTCACACTTGGGCGCTGAATTCCCCCCTGCCGACAGAGGGGCACACGTAACTCCTCAAGATCGTGTCTGGTTATCCATAAACGCACCTGGGATAAATATCTTTTTCTGTAACATCGTTAGAGCCTTTTAGTGGCACATGTTGCACCCTTTTGCAACCATTAACCGCGGCTGTGATTTCATTGCCTCAGCACGGGCTGCTACCAAAAGGGGCAGAGGGAGTTTATGGACAGATCAAAGTTGCGTATAAAGGATGCCCCGAGAGTCGGGGGCATTTTGCAGCTGTGGTGCCCCATCTCACCATCCGACTGCCAGACCGCGTTCCCACTCTACAAATTGCCAGCAGTTTCACACTTCCTCAAGGAGAGATCATTTCTGCAAGGGAGGTTAATTAACACTGACCCACAGGCCATGATTAGAAGACAAGATGCGCTTGCTCCCACGTCGGTTCTCCACATCCCGCTATCCGAAGGAAAGGGATGGCTCGGGAGTTGAAGCTGCATTAAATCTATTGTTCCTACTGCTTGGTGCAATTATGCAAAATATTTTTAGAAGGGACAGCGAGAAAATAACCATGGAGGGATGTGTCCCGAATCCATCAGGAAGCCAATGTCAAGCAAAATCCAGAGGTCTGAGTTTGGGATATGCGTGTGTGTGTGTGTGTGTGTGTCCCAAAAAAAAAGAATCAGCTGAAACTCTAAGCAAACTTTGCTGAAAATGCTGGAATATTATTGCGTTCTCCTGGCTATCATTCAGATTGAAAATGTAGCAGGAAGTCTCCTCCAGCTGAACTCGTTCCTCCTAATGACAGTTAATAACAATGATTGCTATTCAGATTGAAACTGCATTAATACAAACTTCAATTTAAACAGCAGCATCTTTGTCTAATGCCAAGAGGTTTATGTGATGCATAATCAGCTCTTCTAAAAAGTGTCACATTCTATGCCCCAGCCTTTTAATCAAGAAGTAGTCAAATAAAGTGCAAAAACAATGAAAAAAAAATGGAATACAGTGCCTCGATATTACTCAACGTCCTTTCCTATGTGATATTTTACTTTGCTGGCCAGTGTCAGAAGGCAACCGATCTCCGTTTTTCTATTTGGGCTGAAAGTTGAGTGTTTTGAAGCAGTGGGGCTTTAACTGAGGCAGTCAGCGTGTCGCATGTCCGAGGATTCAAATATTTGGCCCCAGTCTCACAAGAAGAGATGGCTTCAACGCACACACACGTCAAGTGGCCAACACTACTCAGCAGAAGGCATCGGTACCTGATGGAGACCTGATAGCAAGGCATCTCGCATTCCCAAATGAAATCCATGTGTGTAAAACCACACGAAATTTGCCTCTAGACAAACTAAGCCCAACCAAGCATTTATTAAACTGTATTAAGGGAGAGAGAGAAGCAGATACCCACACTTCAGTAACTGAAGACCTGGAGGCAAATGGAAAATTGGACAAAATGCAAAGCAAATTAGCAGAGGCAGGTAGGGCCACATTGATTTAGTGCCTTCCAGATTTTTTAGACAACTAGATAGATGCCATCTAGCTTAATTTTCACAAGCAGCTCAGCTGGCATCACATGGTTGATTATCACTACCTCTGGAGGAGACAGAAATTAGGAAAGGAGCTATAATATGGATAGGGAGCTAAATAATGGGGGAGGAAAGAGTAAAAAGCAATGATGGTAGGGCATGGTGGGATTGGAAGGAGTTTAGGCGGAGTTCCGCCAGGATCGGTGTTGGGAACCTCTCTGGTTAAATCTTTTCATGGATGTTTGTGGCCCTCCAAAACTTGAGCACACTCAAAGCCCAAACTGGGAGCAAAGACACCAGCTCGTGGTTGGTTCGTGCCGTGTATGAGGAGGCAGGACCTGGTGCAGGAGCCGTAATAAAACACTACTTTTTCAGAGAAAGGCATGACCGCGCTATGAAATCCTTCACGTGGCACAGCTCAGTTGAGCTCCAGCCTTTAGCTGCTTGAGCCACAAAAAAGCTTTTTTCTGACTTTGAGTCACTGTTATAAATCAAGCAGTTCTACTAGCGAAGCCGGCTCTTCCTTCTCAAATACACAAAAGGAAAAAGCCCAAGTGATAATTCAGTGGAATCATTTGTAATGGCAGGGGGAATAATGAATAAATGGCTATTTTTAATTCATTTTCCTGCTGTGCCACCGCTTTATCTTTTCAGGTTTTATTAAGCCAGCCCTCCCATTTTGAATCACCGGGTATGCCTTTCATCGCTCAGTGGGTTTCCAGCTCTACCAGATGTTAACAGCAGAGACAGGAGAGGCCCGAATGCCAAGACTGACTTACGGGAACAGAGCGTGGCTGATTGCTGCCCAGGGTTAACGTTGCTACGGACTTTACTGAAATAAAAGGCACGGTTCCTCTGTGTTGCACAGAGCAGTAGCAAAAAAAAAAAAAAAAAAAAAAAGGCATTTTACCCAAACCCCAGCCTCCCTAGATCTAAGGACTATCTTGCTAAAGCTCAGCCGAGCACAGAGGTTTATATCCAGTGGGGGAAGAGGGAAACCATTTACTCTGCATCAGTGCAGCTCCCACCAGAGCCCCCCACCTCCCCGGCTGCCTCCCCTGCCCCTGCGTGCAGCATGATGAACGCCGTCCAGAAGCCTCTGTACACTGCACAGACAAAAAAAGAGTAAAGTCAGGGGAAAGGAGAGGAAAAGCGGTTTTTAGAAGTCCATGCTTAACTCCTGCTTCAGCAACAGTAAAAGCAATAACCTGTAACGCTGCTCCGGTTAGGCAGAGCTGGGGCTCCCACTTTGCTAACTCCCTGCCGCGGCATGGGAGCAATGTGCCTGGAACCAGCGCGAGTTCAGGTTGAATGTCATGCCCTACATAATGGGATTGGAATGAGTACAAGGGGTTGGAAGGGTTTTCCAGGGAAACACACCACAAAAGGGGGTGAGAGTAAAGGACACCGTGCTTAGCTGCACCGGTGGGGGATGGAAAAGCTTGGCAAGAAAGGAAAGAAAATAGCAAAATCTGGAGAGATGGAATCAGACCGCATCTTTGTTCCATTTTAATTAACACTTACAGAAGGTGCCAGGTTCCTGGTTTAAAATAAAGGCGGTTTTTATTAGCAGGACTGCAGGGAAAATGGGAGCTCATGATTTCCCCCATTTATGGCCTTGCTTGGCTCCAGGTAAGAGAACAGGGCAGCAGAACAGCAGCCTCTTCATCCACTGAATGGGGGGGTTTTGCTCTGACTTCAGGCCACCACGGCAAGCCTGCCTCCATACCATCCCACGGGACGGGACGCAGACCACTAATTCCAGTCTCCCAGTAGTCAAGTCTCTCCCAGTCACTGCCGTAAACCTTGGCCAAAGGTGGTGGTCTTCAGGCACGGACCCTCTGATCCCCTGCTCCCCATTCCCCTGCTTTATCTGATCCCCTCCGACGACTGCATCTCGCTCTGCCTGTTGTTTTTCAGAAGCGCGAGTTAGAGAGATTTCAGCCAAGCACGAGCAAGTGGGTAATGCTGAAATGATTCACACTTGAAAGAAAAATGATACAGAGAAGATGCGTTTTACTCATTTGAAACCATTTTGTCAGGAGAGCCACTTAGGGAGAGATAAGTATCTTGAACTCTCCAAAACCACAGAATTCATTTTCATGTTTAACCTCCCGTCACCCATTTCTCTCAGGGAGCCTAAGAGGATGCAGATAAGGCAGAATTATCTCTGGAGCAGGTAATAGCTGGAGGACCCCTCTTCTTGGACGGTCTCCTGGTTTGTCAGCATTTGCATATGAGGATGGACTGGCTCGAAATAAAAGGAGCGTTAATGACAGAAGTTTCTGCTCCCTGCAGGTGTCCCAGTGCTTTGCAGCAGGGTTGGTGCAGAAGAGGAGCCCAGTGCTCCCGCTGCCCTGAATGTGGGTGCTGAGACATCCTCATCTCCCCAGGGATCACAGCGGGGTGGGTGCTGGGAGCCTCCCCACAGAGCCCTGGGGTGCAGCCCCTGTGCCGAGCCCCTCGCCAGCACCCTCCTGGGACCCGTCCCGACGGGCGTTTGGGAGGCGGCTGAAGAGGGTTTCATAGCAAGGGCTGACAGGCAGGGACAGATGCCTCCAGGGCCCTTTATTTAGTACAGAAAAAATAGTGTGTTTATCCGTGAGATCACTCAGAAATGAGACATCGTGCCTCCCTCTCCAAGGCTGAAAAAGCCCCACCGCTTAGCCCGCGTGTTTGCAGCCCACCGCCTGCAACCGGCTCCTCCTCCTCCCATCCACAGGTCCCTCGGATCCATTTTACACCATGCCGTGTTCCCCGAGGCAGGAATCCTGCACAGCACAGCAAAAGAAACGAGCTGCTCTCCCTCACATGCTCCTACTGACAAATGTGGTGTTTTTAAATTAATTCCTCATAAAAAAAAAAATAAAAATAAAAATAAAAAAAAAAAAAAGGTACTGCTAAAGGCTAAGGAAAAGGTCAAGATGTTTGTTTGTGCAGTATGCCTGCCCCAGATCCCCGGAGGCAACGCAGAGTGATGCACACTATTTAAAGAAATCAATTCATTTCAAAAAAGATCATTGAATTAATTCTAGCTGCTGCCACCAATTTAGCAAATTAAAATTCCTAGCACCAGCTGATTCATTAAAGAACTCTGAAAATACAGAGAAACATAAATAAAAAGGGAACCAGTTGAAAGGAGAGCTCTCCAACTGTGTCGTATTCGGTGTATTAAAAATAAGCCGGTCGCTTACATAGATCTTCTAACAATTTGGTCTTTAACTGATTTTCCAGGGCTTGTTTATTTTGTCTTGCAACAAATCAACACCAGAGCTCTCCCAGGAAGCCAGACTCTGGAAATGAGTCAGTGCTGGACTGCCAGAAGCCTGCAGCCCGGGAGAAATTATTTGCATTGCTTGCCCCCAGCGTCTGGATTTGGCCATGGGGCAGAAGCCCTTTGCCTCCAGCTCCTCCCAGCGAGCGAGGAGGTGGGAGAAGGGAGAGGGTGGATTTAGCATCCTCCCTTGCTCATAGGAGTAGGCATCAAGCACCCAGCAGGAGGGTGCACGGCTCATGGCCAGGCATGGCTGGCTCTGGAGGAGAGAAGACGTGGGAGAATAGCTTGGGGCTGTCAATGAAGCAAGACCATTTTGTAAAGGAGCTTTCTAAAAGCCTTGGTCATGCTCGGCCACGTGTGTTTGCAATGGGAGAACCACAGCACTGACAGGCATCATAAATCTCTGCTCGGTCACTTGGGAAAGGAGCTGCTGGGGCAGCAGGAAAGAAACCCACCTGCGGTCGTGTCGTAGGAAGGATGGGGGAAAGGTCCGAGAGCAATGGGCATGGGAAAGAGGTAGCCATGCATGCAGAACTTGGGGTGTGCTTGGCTGGCTGAAAAAGAACAACAAAAAAACCCATCAGTTTGCTTTTCTTTTCTGCAAGATCATAGCTGTAGCATTCAGAGGGCAATACCCTCGTCTGCAAACCACAAAACCCTCACTGGAGGCCGAAGGCTGGGGAATAAAGGAGGATAGCAAATCCTGGTTAGAGAGAAAGAAGACGACGACTGATAAGGGAGGGGAGACATAACAGGATCTGAGACTGCTACCCGTGCATCTTCTCATCTTCCTAACCTGAGTCTGAGGTGGACATAAATCATGAAAGATGGAACAATGCAAATTCCTGTAAATATTCCCATTGTTATTTTCCTCCAGATAATGTGTCGGACCGCCCGGAAGGGGCAAAGGTATTTGGGTACCAGAGCAAGCTGCCTTGCAAGACCTCCAGTTTGTGAGAAGGGAAAGCACAATTAGAATGGAAGTGCTCCATCAATATTAATACCACTGAGGCTTATCATGATTAACGGTAATAGAATGAATGTTAAATGAATTAATTAATGGTTGGCCACTTATTTAAATATGTTCCCCAGCTCAAAGGAACACTTTATAATAGGTGGACATTAGTTCATGCTAAATTGACTACGGAATACCTATTGAATTAATTATTACATCCATGAGAGCAGCAAATTAATTTGCCATGATCAATCCTATTATAATAAATACCTAAAGAAGTAACACAAATTTGCCAGTTATCAGAAAGAGCCATTTTACTTCAGGTAACATTACATTATATCATGTATTTGCATATAATGTAATTAGATAGCAAACTCCCTCTCCCAAGCCTGTCCTTCTTTTATCAAAAAATTTCTGTGCGAGAAATCTCAGGTTGTTCAGTTGAGCAGTGGCAGTAACTGTTCCTGAAAGATTTTTTGCAGGCAAGACAGGTCAGGCACTGGGGGACAACGAAGTCATCTGAAATTTTAATCACCACAGAGTAAATTTATTGTGGGAACCTGCAGTATTTGCAGCCAAACGCCCTACGAGGTGACCACGCTGCTCCGCAGGCACGTAAGCATCGTTGAGCAGACCGAAGCACCAGCGAGCGCAGGGTCGCGGCTTTTGCAACATTTTAAAACCTTTGCAGAACTTATTTTAAAAAAATCTCTTTTTTTTTTTTTTTTTTTTTTTTAATCCCCACTCCTCCTCTAGGTTTGTGGACTCCCCGG